TATGTCTATTGGAATCAAATATCAAAATTGTTAAACGAATAATAAATATATTTTTGCCCAAATGACATTACTTTCGGTGATAATGAAAATGTTAAATTAGTTCTATGAAATCATAAATGGCACAAGGCATCACATGGTGAAAATTTTATGAAAATCGAATATTAATTTGCACTTTTATAGACCAAAAGCCTTGAAAAGTGACTTGAAGAAAATCGTCTATTTCTCTACAACAGTACAAGTTAGAAACGTTTTTGTGGTATCTGTATAATCGTATAGGTTAATTCTATTTGTTGATTGGAATCAAATATCATAATGTTAAAAACATTACAGATCAGGCTCATTTGAATAAAAGATCGGTTTTGAAGGCTAAAAATACAGTTTTTGAGCAAATGACGTCATTTCCGGTGATAGTAAAAATGTTAATTTGGCTTGACCTAGTCCAAATTGGCATTAGGCATCAAATGGTAAAAACAAATTGAAAATCGAAAGATAATTGACTCTTTTACAGGCAAAAAAATGTGAAAAATGACGCATGCAAACTTGCCCATTTTTCGGCAACTGCGCATATTACAAATTAATGTTCACATACATTCTCTTCGTATGGATTATTGCTACGAGATTAAGAAAGTTACGAAGAAATATTGTAAAAAACGAAGACGCTGAATGGGTTGTAAATAGCTTAATTTTACACCTTTTTAACCTTTTAATCGAAATAGCCCGAAAACGAAATCGAAATTTAAAAAACTGAGTGCGATGATTTGTGCGCCTTTGCATGGCATATACTTTTGGTAATATCAAATTTTGAAAAAATAATATTTGCTTTCAAAAAGTGGTACCGAACTGTCAAAATTGTAGTTTTTGGTAAAATTATGGGACTCCCGTTGCCGACAGAAAACTTTAACGGTAACAAAAAAAAATGAAATTTCGGAAAACGGACCTTATGAAATTTCTATTCTACATATCGAACAATAAATAATCAATCTAGAATCGAAAAACTGAATTAGCCAATGGCGACTAACCCGAATTACTGAGACAAGAATTGTTCACATGTTTGCTCAAGTCAGATGACCATGTAATCCTGTGTAAAATACCATCAAAAAATATTCATTAATAAAAAAGTTTTTTGTAAAAAATCAGACGTACCGTAGCTATATTTGCCCTGTCTCCGGCTATGTCAAAATGTACCAAATGTTAAAATCCGTCGATTATTGTAAATATTACGGCGACATTTAATAAAACGACAACTTCGGCGATTTCGGACATTTTGCATTGTCACAGAATGTTCGAAATAGGTTTAATCTCTAAGTCATGCTGACTTTCCTGTAAAACCAAAGATATCGTACATATCCGCCAAGTAGTTTCTGGGATATGCTCAAGTGGAAAATAAAACTGTCAACGTGTTGGACGATTGTCTTTACCAAAAAACTGCGATGCAGTAATGACGGGTTTCACCAGTGCCACGTTACCCTTAAACATATGTCACTTCCTGTACCAATGAAACCATTAAACAGGTTTCCACATAATCATTGCACAGATCAAATAAAATGGACGCAGAATCAACCAAATCAAACAATATCAATTCATTTTATACATTTGTTACATGTAAGTGTACAGTACTTCTGGTGATACATGTAAGTGTACAGTACTTCTGGTGATACATGTAAGTGTACAGTACTTCTGGTGATAATGAAAATGTTCAATTAGTTTTATGAAATCAGAAATGGCATAAGGCATCACATGGTGAAAATTGTATGTAAATCGAATAATAATTGCCACTTTTATAGACCAAAAACCTTGAAATTGACTTGTAGAAAACCGTCTATTTCTCTGCAACCGTACAAGTTAGAAACCATTTTCGGGTATCTGTATGATCGTATGGGTTCAATCTATTTGTTGATTGGAATCAAATATCATAATTTTAAAAAAAATTACAAATCAGACTCATTTGAATAAAATATCTGTTTTGAGGGCTAAAATTACAGTTTTTCCCAAAATGACGTTACTTCCGGTGATAATGAAAATCTTAAATTACTTGTATGAAATCGTAAATGGCATTAGGTATCAAACAGTGAAAAGTTTATGAAAATCGAATAATAATTGACACTTTTATGGACCAAAAACCTTGAAAAGTGACGTGTTGAAAATCGCCTATTTCTCCGCAACTGAACACGTTAGAAACCATTTTGTGATATCTATATGATCCTATGGGTTCATTCTATTAGTTGATTGGAATCAAATATCCAAATTTTAAACAAATAACAAATACAACTCATTTGAATAAATTATTTGTTTCGAAAGCTATAAATATAGTTTAGGCCCAAATTACGTCATTTCCGGTGATATTGAATAAAAGATCGGTTTTGAAGGCTAAAAATACAGTTTTTGAGCAAATGACGTCATTTCCGGTGATAGTAAAAATGTTAATTTGGCTTGACCTAGTCCAAATTGGCATTAGGCATCAAATGGTAAAAACAAATTGAAAATCGAAAGATAATTGACTCTTTTACAGGCAAAAAAATGTGAAAAATGACGCATGCAAACTTGCCCATTTTTCGGCAACTGCGCATATTACAAATTAATGTTCACATACATTCTCTTCGTATGGATTATTGCTACGAGATTAAGAAAGTTACGAAGAAATATTGTAAAAAACGAAGACGCTGAATGGGTTGTAAATAGCTTAATTTTACACCTTTTTAACCTTTTAATCGAAATAGCCCGAAAACGAAATTGAAATTTAAAAAACTGAGTGCGATGATTTGTGCGCCTTTGCATGGCATATACTTTTGGTAATATCAAATTTTGAAAAAATAATATTTGCTTTCAAAAAGTGGTACCGAACTGTCAAAATTGTAGTTTTTGGTAAAATTATGGGACTCCCGTTGCCGACAGAAAACTTTAACGGTAACAAAAAAAAATGAAATTTCGGAAAACGGACCTTATGAAATTTCTATTCTACATATCGAACAATAAATAATCAATCTAGAATCGAAAAACTGAATTAGCCAATGGCGACTAACCCGAATTACTGAGACAAGAATTGTTCACATGTTTGCTCAAGTCAGATGACCATGTAATCCTGTGTAAAATACCATCAAAAAATATTCATTAATAAAAAAGTTTTTTGTAAAAAATCAGACGTACCGTAGCTATATTTGCCCTGTCTCCGGCTATGTCAAAATGTACCAAATGTTAAAATCCGTCGATTATTGTAAATATTACGGCGACATTTAATAAAACGACAACTTCGGCGATTTCGGACATTTTGCATTGTCACAGAATGTTCGAAATAGGTTTAATCTCTAAGTCATGCTGACTTTCCTGTAAAACCAAAGATATCGTACATATCCGCCAAGTAGTTTCTGGGATATGCTCAAGTGGAAAATAAAACTGTCAACGTGTTGGACGATTGTCTTTACCAAAAAACTGCGATGCAGTAATGACGGGTTTCACCAGTGCCACGTTACCCTTAAACATATGTCACTTCCTGTACCAATGAAACCATTAAACAGGTTTCCACATAATCATTGCACAGATCAAATAAAATGGACGCAGAATCAACCAAATCAAACAATATCAATTCATTTTATACATTTGTTACATGTAAGTGTACAGTACTTCTGGTGATACATGTAAGTGTACAGTACTTCTGGTGATACATGTAAGTGTACAGTACTTCTGGTGATAATGAAAATGTTCAATTAGTTTTATGAAATCAGAAATGGCATAAGGCATCACATGGTGAAAATTGTATGTAAATCGAATAATAATTGCCACTTTTATAGACCAAAAACCTTGAAATTGACTTGTAGAAAACCGTCTATTTCTCTGCAACCGTACAAGTTAGAAACCATTTTCGGGTATCTGTATGATCGTATGGGTTCAATCTATTTGTTGATTGGAATCAAATATCATAATTTTAAAAAAAATTACAAATCAGACTCATTTGAATAAAATATCTGTTTTGAGGGCTAAAATTACAGTTTTTCCCAAAATGACGTTACTTCCGGTGATAATGAAAATCTTAAATTACTTGTATGAAATCGTAAATGGCATTAGGTATCAAACAGTGAAAAGTTTATGAAAATCGAATAATAATTGACACTTTTATGGACCAAAAACCTTGAAAAGTGACGTGTTGAAAATCGCCTATTTCTCCGCAACTGAACACGTTAGAAACCATTTTGTGATATCTATATGATCCTATGGGTTCATTCTATTAGTTGATTGGAATCAAATATCCAAATTTTAAACAAATAACAAATACAACTCATTTGAATAAATTATTTGTTTCGAAAGCTATAAATATAGTTTAGGCCCAAATTACGTCATTTCCGGTGATATTGAAAATGTTCAATTAGTTTGACCTAGTCACAATTGACATTACGCATCAAATGGTATCGCTTTTATGAAAATCCAATAATAATTGACTCTTGTCATGTTTGAAAATAAATTTCCCTGTTATGGGTATGTTGGTCTAGGAAATGGAGACAGCTTGTTACGAAAATTTTGATATTTCAAAATATATTCTTGATTGTCATACGAATAATATTATTCGAGCAGTTGGTAAGAAATGAAATGAAATTAAATGGGGTTTAACGTCCTACTGTTCTGCTCCTATACTGGGCTAATGAAGACGGGCATACGCCATACAGTGTGCTATGAGGGAAATTTTGCCCGGGCAGCGGCACTATCGCCTACTCTTATATCGAATTCTAACTGCCAGGGGATCTTTTACGTGCATTCCAATATATAAACGGGACCTCGGTTTTTCGTCTCATCCGATGGACTAGACAACTGTCCGTGTCAGGCCCTCCGTTCTGCACCACTGACAAGGGGAAACCACGTCGGAAAATCTGGATGAACTTTCTCGGCCAATGCAGGGATCGAACACCTAGCCACCGTGGCTCCCCAGTTGGTAAGACGTTATCGGAAGCATAGTTTGATGCAGGATGGAACGGGCCGTCGTTGTCCTTGCCCTAATTTACCATATTGCCACAAAATAAAATTTCTGTAAGCTTGGTTTCGGAAAATATTGTTTCTAAAGTCAGGTTCTAAATTAGTCTGGAATGACCAGTTGAGAATATTAGCAACATCAAGAACATCTCTTCTCAAACACACATTCACAAATGTTTGGGCTTGATGTCACACAGTTGACGTCATTGCAACAAATGTTCATTCTTTCATTTTCAAACTGTTTACAGTTGCCGCAAATACAAAACTGGTTTTTCACTGATATTAGACGAGGATGATGGTCCTGGCATTATGAAATCTTTTACAAACTGGGGATTGTCTTGAATCATTTCCTTCATAATATCTTTGAGGTTTTTATCTGGTAAATTGTCCACCCTTTCCTGATAACAAAAATAAAAAGAATAAATAAATAAAAGAATGTGACAGTAATATACATTTAGAGCAGAATATATGATTCAAATGCACCCATTCTATGATTGAAGCCTATAAAGTGTTGCAAATGTCGGAATTTGGTATAAAGTAAATCCTTACACTTAGCTTAGCACATAATTCTTCATTTTTCTTTTTTAGCTCCCCACAGCTGATCTGTAGCAGGCCATTCCTGGGTGGTACCTCCGTAAAAGTAGCATTTCTGGAGCTATTAGCTGCATATGGCTGAAATCGTTTGGTGTTTGATGATTTACTGGTCTGAAATTGAATAACAGTTGCATTGCTATTCCGTCTTATATTCAACAATTATAAAAAAATATATTGGGTTATACTATTATGTCCAACTTTAAGACGTAACTGGCAATAAAGTGCCAAATTTAAAAAAAAATAAAAGTGTTTATTACCTTCTTTGGTGTAGATTTGTTTTTACAAGTAACATTTTTGCAGTCTGTACGACATGGCTTCCGCTTTCCCTCTTCTGTCACAAGGACAACAGGGCACCTATAAATGTACCAAATAATTATATAAAAGTAAAAGCTCAAGCAAAACAAAACATCTAATATTAGGCCCTATCTGATCGGCAAAATGGTTATATCACTTGATTGTAACGTCATCTAATTAGTAAAATTATATGTATAACAAAAAAACGTAACATCAATAAATTTAGCACTGTTAAACACTCCCCAATGAGAGCCGCCCCCAAAAATGTAGTTATGGTCCCATGATCGTTTTCGTGAACAACATACAACATCGAACATGGCGACTTATGAAAATCTAATCTAAACTATCTGTTTATTGCATAGTATTAGTTATAATTACACTGGACATTATGCTGCGATAACTTTTTTGGTGATCTACATATGTGTAAGATATTCACAAGAAGACGTGGCAATAATAATATGAAGAAGACAGTAGTTTGTGTAGGTGATTTGTTTTGGTTGAAAATTTCAGGTTGGGTAAGCCATCTTTTTGCATCTTTTGTTTAAGAGTAAAGCTTAGGCTATATTGTAGTAGACGCAGTTCAAATAATTATTTACAGGCTTACGTGATCAGACATTTTGCAATCTTCAATAATTTGGTATACTGTTGGGAAAAAATAGAGCAATCAGTGAAGCGTGTGAAGAGAATAAGACCGGATGTGTACAGCTGGCTGACAAGAAACAAACTGGAAGTGAGATCGGCCAACCTTTCCAGGTCATAAGCCACCATGTCCGCCATATGTATTTCACATATTGGAAACAAGTATGGGGGCTTGGGGGCGTTAACTTTTTTTATTTAATTATTTCGTTATTTTTGTAACCGGAGTTCAGCTTTAAGAAGAATTGTTACTTGGTGCATATTCAATCCCAGGAGAAATTGAAACGTATTTTACTCACGTTGTAAGTGTTTTCTGACCATTAGAATTCTGCACAATCTTCCTCCCAAAGTCCCGGAAATGGCATTTCAGAGACCAAGTAAGCGCCCCATTGAGACAAAGTCCCCTCAGCCCCAGTCCCCCAAAATTAAAAGCTCAGTTACATATCTGAAATATTTTCGGATCTACGGCGCGAAATTCCATTGTGAAACTATTTTTCAACTCCCCGGTCTTATACAATGTCATCAATATCATATTCCCGGTTATAGTGAACTGCCCAGTTAGTAGTGTATGTGGTGTATGGGTCGTGGGGCCTCCGTGGGTCTATTTATTAAATATAAATTGGGTAATATTTGACGAACAGGAAGTGTTTTACGGATGAATCAAAAAATAATCCCAGATTGCCCATATCTCGGTTATTTCCCAACGGATCGTCTTCGGGTTTTCATTTTTGAATTATTTTGGACGAATCCCATATGGGCTCTAACTGACAGGCTTTTCGAAATTCGGAAGTTCGGTCGATTAATATTAGCATCAAAGATTTGCGAAAGTTTTCTTCATTATTTTTTCGATATTCAAGACGGCGTATGCCAGTCACCATTTGAGGTATCAAATTGAAACTTGGTAGGAATAAGGAACACATATTAAAAAAATTAATTACCGAGGCCTTCCGATTTTTACCGAACATGAATAGTTCTCTTCATTTTAAAAATAGACAAAAAAGTGACATATGGTGGTGTTAGCTCCAGATATTATCTTTCATTTTCAAAGACCTTGTTCCACAATATTTTCAACCGCTTGGCCACCATATTATTAGATTTTACAAAAATCGCCATTTTAATTTCGATTTTCGAAAACTTTTTTTGTATCGAACCTACCCCAAATGGAAACAATTGTTTGGGAGCCGATTTTTCAATTTCGATTTTGTGTACTTCCGGTTTCACTTTGAATTTTGTGTCATATGATGTCCATATGCTGTCATATGATGTTCAAAGCTGGAGATTGCCCAAGGGGATTTTGACCGGATGTGTAACTCAATATTTAGAACTTCTGTGTTTATTTTAACTAAATGCCGTTTAATCAGTACATTGGCTAAGAACAACTTAAATGGGCTTTACCGTCCTATTCTCCTGCACCCACTGGGCTAATGAAGACGGCATTGAACGGGTGTAAAACTCAATAAATAAAACCGTGCCAAAACAGCCAACGGTGATGCTGATGTCCCTCGTCGAAATCCCAAAATAAATAGATGACACATATAAATAGCACATTTATCCCTTTCAAAGGTATCGAGCAATCAAACTGATTATCTATACTTGGTCTAAGCATAACATATTCACACCCAATCTCCGTCAAGATAGTGGAACTATATACTAAGATGGATGACTCGCCATCAGTTAGAATCAAAGTTATCTTGTACCAAATGCATCGACCTATGAAATTGCTTAACTCTGCTTAGCTTTAGCAAGAAATGTTAATTATGAACATCTACATCAAGTTTAAACATTGTACCTCAAATAAAAGCAAAGTTCATCGTTCTCATCGAATCAGATACAAAGTTATTGTGTTCCAAAATCTCAACCAATCAAATTGTTTATATCTGCTTTGCCTTAGTGGAAAATACGTATGGTCGATGTAATGAAACTATATTGATGTAATGAAACTATACACCAAGTTTCACCACTCTCACTTAACTAGAGCATAAGTTATCGTGTCCCAAAGTATCCACTAATCAAATGTCTTATCTCTGCTTACCCTAAGCAGAAAATGGTAATCGATTAGAAGGAGAGTTATGGTGTCCCAAAAAGTGTGCCGGACAGACAGGCGGTGAGATCCATTTTAATAGTCCGCTGCTTTCTTCGAAAGGCGGAGGACAAATATGTTAAGACATGGTCTATGGTTTCCATTGATACACCAATTTTATTTATTTCTTGGTCAAAAGCTGAGAGTAATCTCTCCTTGGAAATTAAGTAATAATTAACATTATATATAAGTAGCAACTTAAACATACCCCTAACAATGAGTTTAATGTATTGATATCGAAAACCAATTTTCCTTCTATAAACTCCTGTATCCGCCATTGTAACGTTGGTTATGAGAACGGGCCGTTTGTTGCGTTCGATATTGAGTGAATCTTGTGCGTCAAGATTCTACTACAATACGTAAGGGTTGGGGGTGGTTGCTTACTCGTGTGACAATATTGGTTCTTAAATCGGGTTCTTTGATGACAACACTGGTATAACTTCAAACAATGGTTTTATTTCTTCTTTTTCACATATACAACAGTTCTACTACATTACTTATATAGACCGGGTTTTTCGTCTGGTTGCCGTCTTGTTCCCCGCTCGGCTCTCTGGCCTCGACTGCCTCTAAAACGGTTTGTCTGATCTTTTAATTACTGGGCCGAATCTATGTCCAGCCTTGCAGTCTCGATACCACACCCATGCACCGTAACCTGATTGGTCAGTATCCGGTCGGGGTGGGTTAATAACCTGGACGGACATATAGTTATTGGCCAATCAACTAATTCCAGGTATTATATTTCAGATTATATTATGACCGGGATTGGCAGCTGGTCATTATATAATAACAGATTAAGCTTCCCGTGCAGATTGCTTTACTATTCAAGATCTTGCGTAACTCGGGACAGCTGTGATGATTAATGACTTCCTAACGACCTTTGTCTGTCTGTTAGACTTATCATGTTTACTGCCATCTTTTGACCACCTGTGATCTGTCTGCTAGCCCTGTGATAAGATTGCTAATTGATTTCGTGAGGGTATGCAATTATATATCCCCCCAATTGTGTAACACTCGCTTAGCTGTTTCGTTCTCAATTATCCTAAAAGTAAATTAGTCTCTAAATCAGATGAGGTATGTATGTTTATTTCCAGAGTGAATATATAAGCTGCTGCTGTTGTTGTTGATTACAGATTTAACGTCCAATACAATGAATATGATGTAATGGACAGGTTGATTTAATTAAATTATTTACACGCGAAAATTGTTATAAACACAAATTAAAAAAAATGGTCCTCGAATACCAAAGGTTCCTTAAAGCACACTTATAAACTCGCTGTCGTGAGAGGAGAGGGCGGGTCATCTTCTTTCTTTGTCATAATAAAGTTAAAACAGGAGGTCCAACTGACTGATGTTTGGCGTCATCAGAACGGATAGAAAAAAACCCGTGGGGAAAAAGAATCCGTTGGCTTTATGTGGAAAAGCGAAGTGCTCGCAGTAAAAACCACATAACTTGACCCGTAGATTATTTACATATTAAAAGTTTTGGTCCAATAAGTTCCATATTGTTAAAAATTAATTACGAGTTCAAGACTTAAAAGTTTAAAAGTTGTACGCATTCCATTAGAGTTTTCCTTGCGTACGGCTCTCTACAGATAAAAAGTTACCTGAAAACAAAATTGTAGGAAAATATAAATTTTTAAACACAGGTTAAATTTAATTGATTGATGTACACTGTCATTGTTTATAATGGTTGTGTAGGTCCCAATTCCTTTATTTTGTCATTATCTTTCCATAGTATATTATTATATTAAATCATGCAGCAGGCTGAACCGTCATACTGTCCTACAACAATAGTTCCATTCTTTGTAACTAGATATGTAGTTCCCTATCTTAACGTTAATTTATTCTGATATTATCCTTATACGGCATACTTGAGAACGACAAGAGGAACTTGTTGAAACGTAGTGTGAAATAAATCCAGTGATTGTTTTCCATATAAATTTGTGTTTTATATTTTGATATTATTAAAGCATCCAGGTGGCTTAAGGGCCAACCTGGTCTACACAACTAATTATCTTTCTTTGACTAGTGCTCTTTGAACGCAACTAACTTAACAGTTAATTCCCGATTCTGCTATGAATTTTGAGATAGCTTCATAACTTTTATATGACATATTCCGAGTGGGCTGGGGGAAGAGTACATTTTGGAGGGTATATAGAAGTTTATCATTTTCCATTAAACTTCGTACAGGGAGTCTTTTCTTTTCATTTGCTCTGTGACCCAACGGCTGAGTCTCTGATTTGTCATTTCTTTTGATTTTTTTCCTTGATGTTTTTGTACACTTAAATGTTGGACAGCTGTCCCCAAGATATAGTATCTTGGCCCAATATCTCAATGTCAGTTCGTTTCGCCTCAATTCGAATGACATTTCACCTACTTGCTGCAAAAGACTTTCCCTTTTTGGACCAAATGAAGCTTTCGTTGCTATCTTTATTGCCTAATATTGTAAA